CTGTGAATTCTAGTCCTGCCTTAAGTACAAAGCCAGCTGGGTGACCTTGGCCAGTCAACTCTCTCTCAGACCTAGGAAGGAGGCAATGGCAAACCACTTCTGAAATCTTGCCAAGGAAACTGACTTGAAAGCACCAAAAAAAAACAGAACATTAAAGGTTAGAGGACCATCATTGCCAAGAAAGGACATTCTACACACAGGGCACTTGTATCAAGAATGTGCACTCTCAGACCACCATATAGCAAATTCCTGGTTCACGAAGCATCCTCAAGAAGGCTTCCTCTCTACAACAATCAGGAGATACACTGGGGATAATAGTCACTCATGTTCTTGTCACCTCATGTTTGGGCTACTGTAGTTCACTGTACATAGGGCTGTCCTTGAAGATCCTCCAGAACATAAGAATTGCCCCACTGGATCAGCGCTATGTCCATCTAGATAGCTTTCCATCTTGCATGGTGGCTCAGCAGATCTAGGAAGCCTACAGAAAAGGAGATCAAGACAGCCTCCTTTTGCATTGATATACCCATGCCCATAGTATGTAGAGGTAGGGTACCCCTGGGCCTGTAGGCTGCACCCAGTCTTTAAGACTGGTAGTCATTGACAAAGTGCTCCATCAGGTGGCCAAATCCCCAGTTGTATATGACTTTGTGTGTTATTGCACATACCTTGACCTTTGCTCAAGAGCTATCTGGGAGGCAAGGTGGCGCCTTGGGTAATGCTTCACCTGCTGAAAACACACAGCCTGTCCCATGCAATTTTTAAAAACAAATAAGAGAGCCTTTGGCTTGGAGAAATGCTAAATCTACATTCATATCTGATGTTCCACAGATCACAAAGTGTGTGAGATGGTAATCAGAGGTTGGAAGAGAGGATAGTTGGAACAGTTAAATTTGCCCCACCTAGATGCAATTCTAATCTGGTGAGGATTAATTTCTTTTTAGGATTAGATGTCCAGGGGACACTTGACTTCAGTTCTGTATTGTTGATGGAAAAGTACTCACTCAGGAGTGCTTTGTTCCTTAATCTTCCCTTCTTTTTTCCTTAAGATTTATGTGTTTTCTCTGCTAGCACCTTAAGGCTAACTTTCTTTGTTTCCGAGTTTGGTGTGCGAAGCAGTTTCTGCTACCAAGCCTTTCTTGGACTCTTGGTAGCATTTACACACTCCAATAAATCGTGGGCTGCTGAATGCATCCTCCAAACTTTTCCAGCCTGGTAGTTCTTGAAAGGCATAGAAATGCAGGTTCTGGGATTCCAGCCTGAAGCGGAGTTGCAGGAGATCAGCAGGTTGAGGGAGATCAGCATTTAGAAAAGGCAACGAGATTCCACGCCAAAGGCAGGATTCTGGATGGAAGGTGGTGTTGAGGAAAGACAGAAGACAAAGGAGGAGAAATAATTTAGTTTATCACCACGGTGCCCAGTCTTTTAAGCTGGCAGGATCGTAATTGTTGGGTAGAGACAATGCCTCTTCTCATGTGTGCACACTCAGATGTACCTCACGCTAGCAGTATTAGGTTCTTCCTACTGGAATTGTGTTGGGTCCCCTGCTTCATCCTTGCTGTTTGCTTATGGAAGTGAGGCTGGCTTATCTGTAGTTTGTGTTTGCCCTGGAAACCTGGAGTGTAATGTTGCAAAGCCGGACTCTGCACCAACTGGCTGCCGTTAAGAAGTTGGACACCTGGGATGATTAGCTTGCGAAGACAAACTGTATTTTTCATGTGTGCTTGTTTGGCCTTCTGAATGAACAGCATGAAACAAAAGGGATCTCTGATTGTAAGGGAATCTGAATAAGACTCTGTATTCAGAGTCAGTGCAAAAACACAGATTCTCACTGAAAATGCTGTGAAATGTCCTGCGGTAGAACAAATGTATCTTATGGTGGAATGAACGCATCATGTTCTTTGCCCCAAACGACTGAACCGAAAGAGAAATTTGATTTGGGCATTGCGTCAGACCCTTCTTTTTTGTGTCAAATCCACAACTTAAAGCTTTATTTATAATATTTAAAAAGTTCTAAAGAAATAAAAAGTTAGAAAATATGCTGGATTTGCACCACACGCTAATGGGGGTTACATTGGTCTGTCAGTAGCTGTATTTTATTTACTTTTCTTTTTTCACTTCCCCAAACGATTATTGTAGTCAGTTTAACCACAGTAGATTGCTAGGCTGGGTGGGCTGAAAATCTCAACTTTTTCTTTTAGTTATGGAATAATTGTGTTTTTCTTTATACTGTACAAAGTTGGGCACAACGTCTTTTTAACCTTGAATTGTAAGAGAAAGGCTATATTGCACTACCAAAATTACAGTTTACCTGTCAAATTTCAGCAGGGTGATCCAGGGCGTGTGTGTGTGTGTGTGTGTGTGTGTGTTTATTTGTGTGTGCATGTGTCAGAAAAATTAGTGCCACCTCCATTACAAACCTGGTTTTATGAGCTCAAATGGTTGGGCTTGCAGAATGTGTTAAGCCCAAATCAAGCAAACCATTATTGTGACTTAATACAACATACAGTACAACTCCAGAAATCTGCTTCATCCTTGGGTTCAACAGAACTGGACAGCCAGATGCCTCCTTGGAAGTTTGGGGTTTCCACCATCCCTGGTCATTCCCTCAGCTGGATTCAGCCATTGGGATATGAAGCCCAAAACATCTGGACTACATTGTCCATAGATTAGAAGACAAATCTCCTTTAATGAAACCAGTGGTAACTCCTCCTTCAAAGGTTCTTCACATCATCTTCATCTACAGGTTTATTCATTCCCCCATTTTGCCCAAGGTCATTCCATGTAGCATTTGAAGAGGGATCAGACAACCACCTTACTCCGATAGATAGATAGATAGATAGATAGATAGATAGATAGATAGATAGATAGATAGATAGATAGATAGATAGATAGATGGATGGATGGATGGATGGATGGATGGATGGATGGATGGATGGATGGATGGGCAGACACATACACGTGCATTCTTACCTTGATATAGATACAGATATATAACATACACACACATACCAACTTGTGTAATGTATAGATTTTCTGTGATCTTGAACCACTAGTTTACAAATTTACAGGAGATTTTTTTGCTCCAGGACAAAGATTTAACTAGGGTTGTTGTCCAAATTGTCCCTCCATTAAATGGCTACTTGATGATGGACTTGCTTTGTATTTGTATCTTATGGCTCCAATATTGCTTTTCCGCAGAATCTGAGAAAGTTGGTCCTCCCTTCCCAACTGAAAAGATGGTTGCGTTACGGCAGTTTGGACTTCTTCTCTGGAAGAATTACATCTTGCAGGTGAGTTGATTTGGAGCCATGGAGAATCGACAGAAAGGAGGTCCGTGGAAACGAACGAGTAGAAGTTAAACCTAGCTGTAAGCCAGTCTTCTTTAACTTCCTCCAGATAGGTTGGACTTCAGTTCCAGTGATCCCCAGCTTGAGGATTAGGGAAGTTGAAGTGCAACACATCTGAAGAAGACATCATAATCAAGATATCTGCTTAAAACATGCCTTCCTTTCTGGCTCTCATGCCACACAAGACATTGTTTTAACTATGGATTGTTAAACGAACAATTGGGTTTGCTCAATGCACTAGCCATAAGCCATAGTTTCCAAACCATAGTGCTAGTTTCACTCAACCTGCTAAACCCAACAAGCCCATATTATGGCAGAACAATCTGAGGGCTGCGTGTGACCCCAGGAAACTTGGGTTTGTCTCTCAGAGGCCTCTAAGAACCATTCTTACATTGCAATGTTTGATGTGACAGAGGGTGAAAATTATTGTCAGCTTAATTATGCTGATTTTGATGAAATGCTTTTTCTTGGCCCTACCCACAACTTTTGAGAAGGATGGCCTCTCTCTCTCTTTCTCAAACCCCTGACTTAGCTCAAGATAGAAATCTGGTCTTCTTAACTTTTTTTTGATGATGAGTTGCATCTCCCTTCATCAGATGCATAGAGTGGCTGGACTGATCTAGGATTTAAATTGGGGGGAGGTGGGGAGGGAATGTTTAAATTGGGGGGGGGGGGGGGGGAATGTTTAAATTGGGGGGGGGGGGGGGGACAGAGGGGGGGCCTGCTGGTAAAGG